ACCTGGCACAGGAGTGACTTTGATCGAGAAGGAATGTCCTTCCAAGGTGAGGCCTCGGCATTGCAGTTGGCTGAGGTTGACCCATTTCCCCAAATGTGGGGAACTCGGGTGTATAATTTATGGTAGCGGGGGACTGCGTTCGCGCTAACCCCTAACACAAATTTAAAGATAGAATTAATATGTAATAACTTTAGAAAGAGTATTGGTGTTTTCTTGAATGTGGTGTAGTTTTTGGAAATAAGGGTACAAACTATCGCCATTATGAACTAGAAAATAGGCCTATATAGGATATGCCTGATATATTTCGCTATCACGTCGAAATGGCATATATATAATGTTTTTATTATTATGTTTTCTACAAATATATTCTATGATCAACTTTATGTGAGAGTTTCTTTGCCATGGGGAGATTTTCAAAATTTATTATAATTTTATATATACTGTATCAATAAAGCTTTTAGGCGTATTGTAGGCTACTACCTGATGGCAAACAATGGCCTCTTTGTTGAAACACATTGATCAGGAATTAGTAAACTAATTTGCATATTCAATATAATCAGAAAACATTTGTAATACAGAATTATTGGTGTTATATTTATACTTGAAAAGATATACGCTTATAAAAACTAACTTTAAAAGATTTTTATACAAAAATTGTATTATTTATTATAATAAGATGATCGTAATGAGAATTTTAAAAGCCAGAAGAAAAGAAGTGTTGAAATGACACCTGTAGGCCACAGCATTTTTAATATTATACTACAGAATATTGTCGACAGCCAAACATACTTACCTGGCACAGGAGTGACTTTGATCAAGAAGGAATGTCCTCCCAAGGTGAGGCCTCGGCATTGCACTTGGCTGAGGTTGACCTTTGCGATTCCTCCAAATGTGGGGAACTCGGGTGTATAATTTATGGTAGCGGGGGACTGCGTTCGCGCTAACCCCTAACAAGAATTTAAAGATAGAATTGATTTGTAAACACTTTACAAATAGTATTTCTGTTTCCTTTAATGAGGTTATGTGGGTACAGAAAAACTTACACCGTTATAAACTTGAAAATATGGGATATGTTTTGATTTGTATATTTCGCTATTAATGAGAATTGGCCTATATTTTATATCGAATGTTTTTTTTTCGTATTTGTATAAAATATATTCTATAATCAACTTATAATCGTTAAAGATTTAATACTAAATGCTGCTAAATGTAAGAGTTTTTTCGGGGTGGGGAGATTTTCAAGTTTATTATAGTTTTACGTATATCAATATAGCTTTTAGACGTATTGTAGGCTACTACCTGATGGCAAACAATTACCTCATTGTTAAAACACGTTGATTAAAAGTTAGTAGACTAATTTGTATATTTATTATAATCAGAAAACATTTATAATACAGAATCATTGGTGTTATATTTATTCTTGAAAAGATATACACTTATAAAAACTAACTTTAAAAGATATAAATACAAAAATTGTAATATTTATTATAAGGTGATCGTAATGAAAGTATTAAAAGCCAGAAGAAAAGAAGTGTTGAAATGACACCTGTAGGCCACAGTATTTCTAATATTATACTATAGAATATTGTCGATGGCAAAGCATACTTACCTGGCACAGGAGTGACTTTGATCAAGAAGGAATGTCCTCCCAAGGTGAGGCCTCGGCATTGCACTTGGCTGAGGTTGACCTTTGCGATTCCCCCAAATGTGGGGAACTCGGGTGTATAATTTATGGTAGCGGGGGACTGCGTTCGCGCTAACCCCTAACAAACATTTAAAGATAGAATTAATATGTAAACACTTTAGAAAGAGTATAGGTGTTTTCTTGAATGTGGTGTAGTTTTTGGAAATAAGGGTACAAACTATCGCCATTATGAACTAGAAAATAGGTCTATATAGGATATATGCCTGATTTGTATATTTCGCTATCACGCCGAAATGGCATATATATCATGTTTTTAATATTATATTTTCTACAAATATATTCTATGATAAACTTTATGTGAGAGTTTCTTTGCCATGGGGAGATTTTCAAAATTTATTATAATTTTACATATATCAATAGAGCTTTTAGGCGTATTGTAGGCTACTACTTGATGGCAAACAATGGCCCCTTTGTTGAAACACATTGATCAGGAATTAGTAAACTAATTTGCATATTCAATATAATCAGAAAACATTTGTAATACAGAATCATTGGTGTTATATTTATACTTGAAAAGATATACACTTATAAAAACCAACTTTAAAAGATTTAAATACAAAAATTGTATTATTTATTATAATAAGATGATTGTAATGAAAATTTAAAAATCCAGAAGAAAAGAAGTGTTGAAATGACACCTGTAGGCCACAGTATTTTTAATATTATACTACAGAATATTGTCGGTGGTCAAGCATACTTACCTGGCACAGGAGTGACTTTGATCAAGAAGGAATGTCCTCCCAAGGTGAGGCCTCGGCATTGCACTTGGCTGAGGTTGACCCTTGCGATTCCCCCAAATGTGGGGAACTCGGGTGTATAATTTATGGTAGCGGGGGAC